ACTTATTAAGAGCATATTCCACTCATTGTAAGGATGAAAAACAGGATCACAAAAACATGGGTTCGAGATGCTTCCTTTCCAAGTTATTATACAAACTTTTTTATTTTATTTTATACTTATATTTATATTTTATGTTACACTTATATCTATATTTTTATTATAGAAATTGCTGGAAATGATTTCCTTTCACATCGATGCATGTTTCGCATCAACATTGCATGAATTGTCGAAGACGTTCAAAAATTCTCGGAATATTTCGTATTTTTTCACACACAGCGATAATACGATTTCGGAGTACTTCCATAGTAGCAACAGAAGTATCATACACGAAAGTCTTAAAATATCTCCATAAATAAAAATCCAAAAGATTCAAATCGGGAGAACGCAGGCCAAGCAATAAATCCTCCTCTCCAATTCATGTATTATAATCTATTGATGTAATTATAATATAATATTATTCAAGAATTCTTGAGCAGTGCGGCTGAAATATGCTGGAGCTCCATCATGAATGAACCATATTTGCGTATCTGTAGTGGAATGTCTTCTAATATTAGAGGGAGTTGCGTTTCCAAAAATTGTTTGTAACTATTAAGTGTAGTAGTTAGTAGTAGTTGTTACTATTAAGTGTAGATGGGAGAAAAATCGGTCCAAAAAGGAAATCTCCAATAATACCAGTCCATACATTGCACGAGAACTTGTGCTGATGCTGAGATGCAATAATACTATGCGGATTTTCGTATGACCATAGATGATTATTATGATAATATATGTGATAATATATTATGATAATATTTGTTAATGCTTAAATAAAAATTGATCCATACAGACGTATCTAATCTCTTTGTTTAATTTAGAAGGTGAATAGAAGTGCAATTCATGAAACGTCGAAGCGAGACATACCGTCCGACATAAATACATACAATTTAAATAAGAAATGTTTATAATTTAGCAACGTTTCCGACCCATGTTTATATAACTTTTTTTCATTTTTACAATGAGTGGAATATGTTCTTAGAATTTGGCCAACTATTTCTGAAACACTCTGTATATATATATATATATATA